TAGGTCCTACAGTTTATTGGTTGAACTGGAGGCAGCTGCGTAGAAGCTGCTTTCTCCTCTCCCAGCGCCATACTGTGGGAGAGCAGATGCATAGAATAAGTCCCAATTCCAGTAACAATATAGTCCGAGTTGCTCCCCACAGTGGGAGAGCAGATGCATAGAATAAGTCTTAATTCCAGTAACAGTATAGTCCGAGTTGCTCCCCACACTGTGGAGATGATGGAAAGTCTAGTGCAGCGTGACCGGCACGGTACCTGACATCAGTGCTAAAACCACACAGGCACACACACACCATGTTAGAAACAAATGAGTTATTACTGTTTTTAAAAATTTATTATGTACTACATCCCAGGCATAGTTTTAGGATCTGGGGGAGTTTCTCTGCTTTCATTTTAGTTATAGCATTTTTTTTTCAAAAACAAAATTTGAATTAGGTTGATCTCTATTCATAATTTTTTTTGCTTTTTAAAATTTTATTTAAGGTATAACAAATTTCCTGTATTTCATGTATGCAGATTTAGGAATGCAGTGATACTTCTCACTGCAGCCTCCCTCCTGCCCACACTCCCACATTTCCTCCTCCTTCCTCTCCTAATCCCTTTCTTAATTTTTATAGTCGTCTACTTTCATATTACTCTATACTCATAAGATTAATCCTACACTGAGTAAAGAGTTCCACAAATGGTGAGAAGAGAAAACACCACTGTTCAGGGCTATAAACAATCATCGAAGCTTGAAATCTCAATTTCACTCCTCTACATTACATTTTTGGTACTCTGTTAGCAATCACAGATGAGAGAACACGTGGCATTTGTCTTTGGGGATTGGCTTACACCCTTAAGTATAATGGTTTCCAGTTATGCCCATTATACTGTAAATGACAAGATTTCAGTCTTTTTTCTGGCTGAGTAGTATTCAATAGTGTGTGTGTGTGTGTGTGTGTGTGTGTCATATTTTCTGTATCCAGTCATCATTGATGGACATCTGGGTTGATTCCATATCTTAGCTGTTGGGAATGGAACTACAATTAACCTGAAGGTACAGATCACTCTTTGTTACACTGATTTCATTTCCCTTGGATACATTTCCATTGTCGGATTGCTAGGTCATATGGTATATCTATTTTCAGCTTGCTGAGGTATTTCCAAACTGTCTTCCACAATGGATGCACCAGTTTATGTTCCCAACAAAAGTGGATTAGGGCATGGTTTTCCACATACCCTCACCTGCATTTTGTTGTTGATTTCTATATGAAAGCTATCCTTATTGGGGCGAGGTGAACCACACGGTCATCCTGAGCATTTTTCATACGTCTGTTGAGCATGAGGATGTCCTCTTTTGAAAAATGCCCATTCAAGTCCTTTGCCCATTTCTTAACTGGATTTCTTGTTTTGTCATTGAGTTTCTTGAGCTCTTGATAGATTCTGGATATCAGTCTTTGATCAGTTTCATAGTTTGCAAATATTTTCTCCCATTCTGTTGGTTGACTCTTCACTTTGCTGAGTGTTTATTTTGTGTGCAGAAGATTCTCTACTTGTTATAATCCCATTGGTCAATTTTGACTTTAATTGCCTGTGCTTCCAAGGTATTTTCCAAGAAGTCTTTGCCTATGCCAGTGTTTTTCAGCATTTCCATGATGTTGTCCTCTAGTACTTTGAGAGTTTCAGGTTGTAGATTTGAATCCTTGATCCATTTTGATTTGATTTTTGTACAAGGTATAAGGTAGGCATCTTGCTTTATACTTCTACATATGGAAACCCAATTTGCCCAGTACTGTTTGTTGAAGAGACTGTGTTTTCTCCAGTGATTGATTTTAGATGCTTCACCAAATATTAGTTGGTTATAGATTCATGGATTGATTTCTGAAGTTTCTGTTTTGTTTCCTTGGTTGACGTGTCTATTTCTTTGCCAGTTACCAGCTGTTTTCATTATAGCTGCCCTGTAGTATGTCTTGAGATCTGGTACTGTGATGCCTTCAGCTTTGCTTTTGTTGTTTAAGATTGCTTTAGCTATTCAGGGTCTCTTGTGTTTCCACATGAATTTCAGCATCATTTTTTCTATATCTGAGAAGAATGTCATTGGTATTTTGATTTGGGATTACATTGAATCCGTAAACTGCTTTTAGCAGTATGGACATTTTGATGATACTAATTCTTGCACTTGACGAACATGGAAGATTTTTCAATTTTTTGTGCCTTCTATTTCTTTAATGTTTTTTAATTTTCATTGTAGAGATCTTTGACCTCCTTGCTTCAATGTATTCTAAGCTATTTAATTCTTTCTGTAGCTATTGTGAATGGGACTGATCTTACAAGTGTTTTGTCAGCCATGGAATTGTCTGTGTATGCAAAGGCTATTGATTTTTGTGTGTTGATTTTATATGCTTTTATCAAACTCCTTTATGAGATCCAATAGTCTGTTAATTTAGTGTTTTGGTTCCTCTACATATAGAATCATGCCAACTGAAGACAGGGATATTTTGACTTTGTTCCTTTCCAAGTTGTATCCCCTGGATTTCTTTTTCTTGCCTAATGGCTCTGGCTAAAAGACTATATTGAATAGCAGTGATGAGAGTGAGAATCCTTATCTGGTTCTGGATCATGGTGAAACTGCTTCCAATTTGTCTACATTCAGTAAGATGCTCCATGTGGTTTTCTCATAAATTGCCTTGATTGTGTTGAGGAATGTTCCTTTTATACCCAATTTGCTTAAGATTTTAATCATGAAAAGATACTGTATTTTATCAAATGGTTTTCTCTGTTGAGATAATCATGGGATTTTATTCTTTGGTTTGTTAAAGTGATTTGTCACATTTATTGATCTGTGAATTTTGAATCATTTCCGCATACTAGGGATAAACCCGACTTGGTCTGGGTGAGCGATCTTTCTGATGTGCTGTTGGATTTGATTAGCTAGTATATTTTGAGGATTTTTCTGTCTGTTTTCATCAGAGATATTGGTCTATAATTTTCTTTCTTTCTTGTGTCTTTTACTGGTTTAGGGATTAAGGTGATGCTGGCCTCATAGAAGGACTTTGGGAAAGATTATCTCCCTTTTAATTTTTTGAATAGTTTGAGAGGAATTGGGATTAGTTCTTCATTAAATGCTGTGTGAATTCAGCACGGAAGACAGCTGGAGCTGGGCTTCTCTTTGTTGGGAGGGTCGTTATTCCTGATTCAATTTCTGTCTTGATATTGGTCTTTTTAGGTTTCCTATGTCTTTACAACTCAAATTTGGTAGATTGTACATCTCCAGGAATTTATACATTTCTTCTAGGTTTTCCAGTTTGTTGGCATATAGCTCTTTGTAGTAATTCGATGGTTACTTTTATTTCTGTGATATCTATTGTTACATTTTTATTTTCATCTCTGATTTTGTTGATTTGGGTCTTCCCTTTTTTTGGTTAGTTGGGACAATGATTAATGAATTTTTTTTTTCCAAAATAATCTGCTCTTTCACTGATCTTTTGTTTTTTGGTTTCAGGTTTTTTTTTTATTCTCTAATTATTTCTTTCCTCCTATGTTTGGGTTTGTTTTTTTTCCCCCTATGTTACTTGATATATATTGATAGCCCATTTATTTGATTTTTTAACATTTCTTGATGTAGGCACCAATTGCTGTAAACTTCATTCTTAATTCTGCTTTAGCTGTATTCCACAAGTTTTGAAATGTTGTATTTCATCTTCATTCACTTCCAGATAATTTTTGATTTCCCTAGTGACTTCTGTGACCCACTGTTCATTCAAGAGCATGTTATTCAGTCTCCATGTGTTCAAATTTGTTCTGAATATTCTAGACTTGTTAATTTCCAGCTTCATTCCATTGTGGTCAGAAAAGATGCATGGTTTGATTTCAATTTTTTTTTTTTTAATTTGATGTGGCTTGCTTTAAAACCTAGCATACTGTCTGTCCTAGACAGTGTTCTGTAGGCTGGTAAAATAAATATGTATTCTGCAACTGTGGGATGAAAGGTTCTGTAGATATCAGTTACCTTCATTTGGTCCATAATGTTGATTAGCTCTGTTGTTTCTGTGTTCATTTTTTGTTCAGTTGATCTGTCCTTTGCTGAAAGTGGAGTGTTAAAGTCTCCCCGTAACTGTTATATTAGAGTTTATGTCTCCCTTTAAATCTGTTATTATTTCTTTAAAATAGCTAGGTTCCCTGTAATTAGGTGCATATACATTTACTATCATCACATCTTCCTGTTGAATTGATCCCTTGGTCATGACATAGTGCCCTTATTTGTCTCTTTGAACAGTTTTTGTGTTAAAGTCTATTTTTTTCTGATATTAGGATGGTTACATCTGCTGTTTTTTGCTTTCCATTAGCATGGAATATCCTTTACCATCCTTTCACTTTCAGTATGCATGTATCTTTATTAGTGAGGTATGTTTCTTGTAGGCAGCAAATAGATGAGTCTTGCTTTTTAATTCAGTCAGTCAGTCTGTATCTTTTAATTTGAGAATTTAGGCCACTTACATTCAGGGTTTCTATGGATAAGTAATGACTTGGCACTGTCATTTTTCTGTAAATATTAATATTGCTTACTTTGGATTTCCTTTGTTGTTTTATATAAGTAATGACTTGGCACTGTCATTTTTCTTTTCTTTTCTTTTCTTTTCTTTTCTTTTCTTTTCTTTTCTTTTGACAGGCAGAGTGGACAGTGTGAGAGAGAGACAGAGAGAAAGGTCTTCCTTTTGCCATTGGTTTACCCTCCAATGGCCGCTGTGGCCGGCACGCTGCAGCCGGCGCACCGCCCTGATCTGATGGCAGGAACCAGGTACTTATCCTGGTCTCCCATGGGGTGCAGGGCCCAAGCACTTGGGCCACCCTCCACTGCACTCCCTGGCCACAGCAGAGAGCTGGCCTGGAGAGGGGCAACCGGGACAGAATCCGGCACCCCGACCGGGACTAGAACCCTGTGTGCCGGTGCCGCAAGGCGGAGGATTAGCCTAGTGAGCCGCGGTGCCGGCCTCATTTTTCTGTAAATATTACTATTGCTTACTTTGGATTTCCTTTGTCGTTTTACTGGGAGATTTTCTGCCTTTACATTCTTTCATAATGATGACTATCCTTCTGTGTTTCTGTGTGTAGCACGTCCTTAAGCATCATTTGTAAGGCAGGACAAGTGCTGACAAATTCTTTCAATTTCTGTTTGTTATGAAAGCTCTGTATTTCACCTTCATTCATAATACTTAACATGTGGAATTTTCCTAGAGATAAAATCACCTAGTATGTATTTTAACTGCTGTTTTAAGTGTTAGCAGTGTATAATGAACACCTTTCCATGTTAAAAGCTAAGTTTCTCCCATGAATGCATGACATTGTCTTGTAAATATAGAGCTGCTGCATTTTTTTTGTTAGCTTGTTTCCAGGCCAGGTATCTGTTTTTGGAGCCCCACTACCACCACCACCATGGAAGACTACATCTTTATGTTAATATTTGTTGTCTCAAAAAATCATAGGCACTTAACTGTTACCTCTGATATATTTTTATGTGTTAAATTTATATACCTTCCCACTTCTCAGGTTAATCATTTCCCTCTTTCAGATGATTTCTTCTAGCTAGTTGTCATATCTAAGCCTTGGTCAAGATTGCAAAATGTGGCTGGCGCCATGGCTCACTAGGCTAATCCTCCGCCTTGCGGCGCCCGCACACTGGGTTCTAGTCCCAGTTGGGGCGCCGGATTCTGTCCCGGTTGTCCCTCTTCCAGGCCAGCTCTCTGCTGTGGCCAGGGAGTGTAGTGGAGGATGGCCCAAGTGCTTGGGCCCTGCACCCCATGGGAGACCAGGATAAGTACTTGGCTCCTGCCATCGGATCTGCGCGGTGCGCCGGCCGTAGCGGCCATTGGAGGGTGAACCAATGGCAAAAGGAAGACCTTTATCTCTGTCTCTCTCTCTCACTGTCCACTCTGCCTGTCAAAAAATAAAAAAGATTGCAAAATGTATTAATAGTACCTTTTTATTGCTGATGTTTGTATCTAATCGGAACTTAAATTACATTTACTTCTGCTTAAATTATGGAGAAAATAAATTAGTTTTAATTTAAGGAAACCAGATAAGAAACATTTTTTGACTAGTAAAACCTATTTTTCTCAGAGAATTTTGTTGTTACTTTATATAAATAAAACACCAGTTCAATGTATCAAAATTTACTTGAGAAAAAGGTTCTAGAACATGGATGCATTCCAGACTGAAGATGGTTCGGAATACCCCATTGCACCAAATGTACAGGAAATGTTTATAGCCAGAGAATAGCAAGTGACATACAAGAGTAACCTGATTAGCTACAGTTGGCATTTCCAATATATATAGGGATGCTGTGATCAGTTGGCAGCCCATGATTGGCTCAAACCCAACGGCTTTGATTGGCTAAGACTCAGAGACTTGATTATAAGGGCTTACTTTTAGTTACAGTTTGCTTACACATCCAACTAGGGTGCAGTTCCCTGTAACCAGAGGCTTCCTTGGGCCAAAATTATCAGTGAACTACAGAAGCAGGTCTAGGAAAAATTATTTACAGTTAAACATATGATTTGGAAAAATGTTCAGTTTTATCTTTTTGTCCAGTAACTTCAAAATGGATAATGATGTATCCCAGAAATGTCATGTCTATCGTAATAAAACCATCAGGACTAGCATATATTTATAGGCTGTAAAATTTTCCTTTGATGTCCATATTCTTCATGTTTACACATACATTGCTTTTATAATTTTTATATACATTTTGAAAAGCTTTTTACCCATATAGCTCATTTTTGTTCCTATTACACACAGTTTGTTGAGTGTTTTTGCTTTAATCACTGGGCCAGAAGTGGTGGGAATTAGAAAAATAGTCCATTACGGTGGGAGCTTAAAATCTAGGTTTGTGAAAAGTTAAATAACAGTACTGGAGCCAATACTCATGTAAGACTGAGGCGACAGGACAATCTACAAATTGCTTTAGGAATTGTACAAAAATGCTTTTTATGGATGTTAGCAGAACACTGTGAGTCAGCATGATTGAGAACAGCAGAACCGAAACTAGTGTCTGCTAATACTAACTGATAGAATTAAAAAGGAGAGAACGATCCAACATAGGAAGCGGGATACACATCAGACTCATAGAATGGCAGATGTACTAAACAGCACTCTGGCTTCAGAATCAGCCCTTAAGGCATTCGGATCCGGCTAAAAAGCCCATGAGAGTATTTCAGGCATGGAAAGCCAAGACACTGTGGCAAAAAACAAAAACAAAAACAAACCCTAAATGAAAGATCTCTGCGAGTGAGATCCCAGTGGAAAGAAGGGGCCATCAAAGAAGGGGGTACCTTTTTCTGAAGGGAGGAGAGAACTTCCACTTTGACCATGACCTTGTCTAGATAAGATCAGAGTCGGTGAACTCAAGAGGCTTCCATAGCCTTGGCAACTCATCACAAGAGCCTAGAGTGATTAATGACACCATAAGTAAGAGTGCCAATTGTTAAATCAACAACAGGAGTCACTTTGCACTTACTCCCCATGTAGGATCTCTGTTCTTAATGTGTTGTACTATGCAAATCAATGATATAACTAGTAATCAAACAGTACTTTATACTTTGTGTTTCTGTGTGGGGGCAAACTGTTGAAATCTTTACTTAATATATACTAAATTGATCTTCTGTATATAAAGATAATTGAAAATGAAAAAAAAAAAGAAAGAACTGGGGACAGGAAAGAAGAGGAAGCATTTCAGAGAGTATGGGTTTGAAACCCAACACAGAGGTAGGAAACGCCAACAGAGCAATTTCTTCAGGCAGGTGCTATGACTCAGTGAATCAAGTCAAGCAATTTGAATAGAAGAAAGAGGATGGGAAGGAAGTGTGTCCAAGGCTCGTCTACATTCATGTGGAACACTCCTTATGCTGGGGAAGGGCTGCTCACCTGGACCCCTGCGTGAGGAGGCCACCGTCATTTCTACTGCCTTGGCTGTGCCCAGCCCCTACTCAGCCCCTCAGCTGAATGGATTTCCATGAGTTAGCTCTGAAATACCACCTCAAGGATCCTTTAGCCAATATACAGGATGTGAAAAAGAAAACATCCGTATGGTTGCAGGCCACTACATTTTGGAGTGGTTACTCACTCTACGAGTAACTAGTTAAGACTAAGCCCAATTTGGATTTCAACATTTCTAGGCAAGTGTGGGAAACTGCTGGCATATGCCTGACAGGAGGCCCTTGGAAAACCACTTCTGGATTGCACGGAAGTGAGACGAGGTAGTATTGGTCACGGAGGAACAAAGCAGAAGGGAAATCCAGGAAGAACAATGGAAACAGGCTGTCTGCCTCAGAGCTGACTCACGACAGGCTCCTGGGGACAGAGAGGCAACTTGGAGACACAGAGGGCACTTGGGAGCACAGCTTGTCCTGGGGTGTCGGGGAAGGGCAGACATTGCCTGCTTTGTGAGAAACGGAGCACAGCCACTCTGCCTGAGCCCGTGGCTGCTGACCATGCTGTGAAGGGCCAGGGGGTGACTGGGTGCCGAGGATGCCTTTGCTTTGGGCAGGTGGCTTTGATGGGTGGTGTAGGGGCTTCAGCTGTCCTCCCCTGAGTGGAGGAGGATGGGGAACTTAAACTGCATTAGCTCTGCGTGCTGCCTCCCTCTCCTGGGACAGGTTAGGTCTGAGGTTGTAGGTGGGTAATGGAATGTACAATGCAAATATTACTGCTAGATAATCTAAATGAACCAGAGGGGTGAGTCTTAGAACAGTTCAGGTCAAATCATTACACTTGTGTTTATATACAGACATAGATTCATTCAGATAGATACATGTTTAATGACATCTGTGTCTATATATAATATAATTAAGTTTTTGTAGTATCAAGTTTCCTCCTCATACATTGTACCCTTGAAATGGTCTCTTGACCTCTGTATAGAGTATAAAGGACAATATTATTTTCTCTGAGTTGAGCAGTAAAGTCATCTTAAGAGTTTAAGGGATCTTCCTAATACTCCAGAATCAAAGTGACAGAACCAGGATTTGAACTGAACTTTCCTAATTCCAGAAATCAGTACAGAATCAGTGCTCATAGGCTACATTGGATGTATTTATAGGATATTAAAGAGCTGGCTTTGGAATTTCTTATCTGTATGCATATCAATATGGTCAACCATCTTTATCCTAGGAGTCAACATTCCATGGATCCAAACCTTCCATAGGTTTGAAAAAATAAACTACATCTGTACTGAACATGTAAGACTTTTTTCCTGGTCATTTTTCCCTGAACAAAATGGAGTAACAATTATTTCAAAAGCATTTGCATTGTGTTAGATATTACAAGTATTATCTAGATGATTTGGAGTATACTGGGAGAATGTGGAAAGCTTATACACAGACTACTATGCAATTTAAACATTTATTTATGTTTATTTGAAAGGCAGAGAGAGAAATCTTCCATCTGCTAATCCACTTCCCAAAAAAACAAAACAACCAGAGATGGGGCAAGGCCAAAGCCAGGAGCCCAGAACTCATTTGGGGTTTTCCATGTGGGTGGTAGAGTCCCGAGGCGTTGAGCCATCACCTGCTGCATCCCAGGGCACACATTAGCAGGAAGCTGGAATTGAAAGCGGAATTGAGATTTGAACCCAGGCACTCTTGATGTGGGATGAGGGGTCCCAAGTGACATCTTACCTGATGTACCAAGTGCCTGCCCAACAGTGCCACCTTACATTAGGAATTGAACTTCTGTGGATTGCAGTATCTGTGAGTCCTGAAAATACTCCCCCACGGATGTCAAAGAACATCTGTGTAGATGTTCCTTCACTTAAGTGGGATTGTTGGGATGAACTCCCCCAAGGGGGAAAGACTGTAAGTCAGAGTGGGCTCAGTACACCTCACCTAGAACACGATAGCTTCGCGACAGAGTACACTGTTGAGTAGCATTTATTTCCCCTTGTAATCGCTTGCTTGACTGTGAGGTGTGGTTCCCTGGTACTTCTCGATATAAAGAGAGAGTAACGTGTATTATGAGCTAGGAAAAAGTTCAAGATCCCCTATTACATTTCTGCAGAATATGTGTTCCTAATGTACCATCATAAAGACAAAAAATCATGAGCAGAAGCATTGTGAGTCAGGAACTATCGACACACAATTAATGCATTCCTGTACGTATTTGAGCTCTGAAACAATTTTTCCATGTTATCACAGGCTCAAAGGGAAATGTAAAAGCAAAATATTGTTGATATAAATGACTACCTTATGTAAATGATGCCTGCTTCCCATAGAACCTCCAGTCATACAGGTTAGTACAATATTTAAAAATAGTCTGCTTACTTTTCTGTACTCATTTTTCAAATATTATTTTTGAAAACACATCGCTATCATTGAGCATAGCCTTTTAGACATCTTCACTAGTGATCAGTGTTGTTGAGCAAAAAGGTTATGCATCAACAGTTTGCACTAAATAAGCTGTCATCAGCACATTTCCTTTTGAAATAATATTCATTAAAATAGGATATTGTCATAGGTAAAGTGACAGCTCATCTCTGTCAATTTTCTATAATAGTAATATACGCTTTATAATATAGCACTAATAAGACAGAAAATAGCATTTCAGTCACCTACTGTACGTTGAAATGGAGACTAGAAACACAGCTCCGGATTCAGGGGAAAAAGATGCCATTTAAATGGAACTCTGTTCAGTCAGTGCTCCAGTACCGTCAATAATTTGATTTATATTCTTGTTATTCAGTATTAGACACCGATGTTCCAACACAATTGTTGTTCTGTCTCTCACCCTTTGTTTCAGTATTAATTCCAAGTGTAAGTTTATACTGACTTTAAGAATTGTCAGTGGACAGAGGGGCTATGGCACAACAGGTTAAGCCACCATCTGCAGCATTGACATCCCTTATTAGTGCTGGTTCAAGTCCTGGCTGCTCCACTTCCTATCCAGTTCCCTACTAATGTGCCTGGGAAAGATGGCCCCAGTACTCACATGGGAAACTTGGATTAGGTTCCTGACTCCTGACTCTGGGCTTCACCCTGGCCCAGCCCTGGCTGTTGAGGGCATTTGCAGAGTGAACCAGCAGATGAAAGACCTCTTTCTCTCTGTCTCTCCCTATATCTCTCCCTCTCTCTTTGTAATCTGACTTTCAAATAAATAAATACATCTTTAAAAAAGGAATTGTCAGTGGGATTTACAAGTTAGAAAATACTCGAACCCAGAGCCTATGCAGACCAATAAGAAGCAATATAATAGAGAAGATGTTAAGTGTGGACATGTCGCAGCAAAATTTAGATCTCTACAATTGTTTAGTTGTCAGACTTTCTGCAAATAATTATATGGTTTCTAAGCACAAATTTCTGTTCCTTGAAATGTGGATATTAGTTCTACCTCATTAGGAAGGTGTGGGGATTAAATGGGGCAATATCTGTATAGGATTTAGGCTCAGAATGTGGCACATAATAGAAGCCCTATAAATCCTTGGCTGTATCCATGCGCCTTACTATAAAGATGTTGTTCTGTTGACTTCTGCTTGCATCGTTCCTATTGAAGTCAGCATTCAGTCTGTTGCTTTGCTGATTGTGTTAAGGTTTTTTGCTTTTATTGTAAATAATTTAACTGGGTGTTTCCAGTTGTGTTTTCCTTTGTATTTATCCTGCAGTAGTTCATCTTAATAACTGAGTATGTGACGAAGTATTTGATTTCCTTTGAAAAATTCCATTTTTAAAAATTTAGGAAAACAAACTTGATGCATTTAATGAATACATATTTGGGAACATGGTGATTCTTTCCCCTCTAACTCCCTCCCACCCATACTCTGATCCTTCTTCCTCTTCCCATTCCCTTTCCCATTATTTTTTACAAAGATCTGTTTTTTGCTAATGTTTAAAAAAGATTTATTTATTTATTTATTTATTTGAAAGAGTTACACAAAGAGAGAAGGAGAGGCAGAGTGAGAAGTCTTCCATCCGCTCGTTCTCTCCCCAGTTGGCCACAGGTCTCCCACGCGGGCGCAGGGGCCTAAGGACTTGGGCCATCTTTTACTGCTTTCCCAGACCATAGTAGAGAGCTGGATCAGAAGTGGAGCAGCTGGGACTCAAACCGGCCCTCATATGGGATGCCAGCACTGCAGGCGGCAGCTTTACCGGCTACACCACAGCACCAGCCCCTGTTAATTTTATACTCAATAGATTAACCCTATATTAAGTAGAGAGTACACTGAATAACTATGAAGAAAAAAGAAAACAGGACAAAACAAACAGGAAAAACATTATTCCTTAAAAGTCAGGACAAGGGTTGTTGAAAAGCATCATATTTCAAGGTGTCAGTTTCACTCCTATAGGTTACCTATTAGGTACTCTGTTAGTTACCACAGTTTAGAGAAACCATATGGTAATTGCGTTTTTGTGACTCTCTGATATTCACTAAGTATAATGGTTTACAGTAGCATCCATTTTGTTGCAAATGACAGTATTTCTTTTTTTTACTACTGTGTAGTATTCCATAGTGTATATATACCATGTTTTTTTTTTTTTTATCCTGTCTTTAGTTGATAGACATCTAGGTTGATTTTATATCTTAGCTATTGTAGATGGAGCTGAAATGAACATGGGGTACAGATCACTCTTTCATATGCTGATTTCATTTTCCTTGGGTAAATTCCCAGGAGTGGGATGGCTGGTTCATATGGTATGTCTATATTCAGCTTTCAAAGGTTTCTCCATAGTGTCTTCCACAGTGGCTGTGCCTCTCCTTCTCTCTCTGTGTAACTCTGACTTTCAAATAAATAAATAAATTGTGAAAAAAAAGTCTGTTCAGGCCCTTTGCCCATTTCTTAAGTGGGTTGTTTGTTTTGTTGTTGGTGAGTTTATTGAGCTTTTTATAGATTCTGGAAGTTAATCCTTTATCAGTTGCATAGTTTGCAAATATTTTCTCTCATTCTGTCAGTTGCCTCTTCACCTTATTGAGTGTTTCTTTTGCAGTGCAGAAGCTTCTCAGTTTGATGTAATCCCATTTGTTAATTTTGCCTTTGACTGTGCTTATGGGGTCTTTTCTGAGGAGTCTCTCTCTATGCCAATGTCTTGTAGGGTTTCCCAAATGTTCTCTAGTAATTTGATGGTATTGGGTCATAGATTTAGGTCATTGATCCATTTGAGTGGATTTTTGTGCAAGGTCTAAAGTAGGGGTCTTGCATCATAATTCTATATGTGGAAATCCAGTTTTCCTGGCACCATTTGTTGAGGAATCTGTCTTGGCTCCAGGGACTGATTTTTGCTCCTTTCAAAGCTAAGTTGATTGTAGATGCTTGGATTGATTTCTGAAGTTTCTGTTCTGTTCCATTTGTCTACACATCTGTTTTTGTGCCAGTAACAGGCTGTTTTGATTTTAAGTGCTCCATAGTATGTCTTGAAATCTGGTATTGTGATGCTTCCAGCTTTGTTTTTGTTGTTTAAGATTACTTTAGCAATTTGGGTTCTCTTGTGTTTCCATATGAATTTTAGCAGCGTTTATTTTTTTTTCTAGATCTGAGATGAATGTCCTTGGTATTTTGATTTGGATCACATTGAATCTATAAATTGCTTCCTGTAATATGGACATTTTGATGATATTTATTCCTCCAATCCAGGGACATGGAAGGTTTTTCCACTTTCTGTGTCTTCTATTTCTTTCTTAAATGTTTTATAATTTTTATCATAGAGATTGTTGACATCCCTGGTTAAATTTATTCCAAGGTATTGAAGTTTTTTTGTAGCTATTGTGAACAGGATTGATCTTAGAAGTCCTTTGTCAGCTATGGCATTGTGTGTGTTGATGTTATATCCCGCTACTTTACCAAGCTCCTTTATAAATTCCAATAGTCTCTTGTGCAGTCTTTTGGGTCCCCTATATATAGAATCATGTCTTCATCAAATAGGTGTAGTTTGATTTCCTCCTTCCCATTTGTATCCCTTTGATTTCTTTTTCTTGCCTAATGGCTCTGGCTGAAACTTCCAAACCATATTAAATAGCAGTGGTGAGAGTGACCATCCTTGTCTGCTTCCAGATTTTAGTGAGAATGCCTCCAGTCTTTCCCCATACAGTAGGATGCTGGTCTGAGTTTGTCATAAATGGCCTTGATTATGTTGAGAAATGTTCCTTTTATACTCTGTTTACTTGAGGTTTTCATCATGAAAAGGTTGTTGAATTTTATCAACATCTATTGCTGGTTTTCTGCATCTATTGATGGTTTTTGTTCTTCAGCTTGTTAATGTGATGGATCACATTTATTGGTTTTCAGATATTGAACCATCCCTGCATACTAGGGATAAATCCCACTTGATCAGTGTGAATGATCTGTCTGATGTGTTGTTGGAATCAGTTAAATAGTATTTTGTTGAAGATTTTTGCATCTATCTTCATCAGGGAAATTGGTCTATAATTCTCTTTCTCTATTGTTTGTTTTATTGATTTAGGGATTAAGGTAATGCTGGCTTCATGGAAGAAGTTCAGGAGGTACCCTTCCTTTTAATCATTTTGTGTAGCTTGAGAATTGGAGTTAATGCTTCTTTAACTATGTGGTAGAATTCAGCAGTGAATCCAAATCCATCCCGTCCTGGGTTTCTCTTTGTTGGAAGTGTCTTTATTACTGATTCAATCTCTGTTTTGGTTGTTGGTCTGTTTAGGTGTTCTATGTCTTCATGACTCAATTTTATTAGATTGTATATTTCCAGAAATCTATCCATTTCTCCTAGACTTCTTGATTTGTTGGCATACAGCTCTCTATAGTAATTCCTGATGGTTATTGTTTCTTCTGTGGCATCTGTTTTACAGTTCCCTTTTCATCTCTGATTTTATTGATTTGGGTCTTCTCTGTTTCTCTTTATTTTTTTTTTTTGTTGAGCACATGGTGTGTAAATTTTATTTATTTTTTTCTAAAAGCCAGCTCTTCATTTCACTGATCTTTTGTATTTTTTTTGTTTCAATTTTGTTTATTTCTTTCCTCCTAGTTTAGGGTTTGGCTTGCTGATCTTTTTTCTTTTTCTAGATCCTTGAGATTGATTGATAGCTCATTTATTTGGTGACTTTCCAGTTTCTTGATTTAGGCACCAACTATTATAAATTTTCCTCTTAACACTGCTTTTGTTATATCCCGTGAGATTTGATATGTTATATTGTCATCTTTATTTGTTTCCAGGAATTTTTTGATTTCTCTTTTGTTTTCTTCATTGAACCACTGTTCATTCAGGACCATGTAGTTCAGTCTCTATATGTTTGCCTATTGTTCTAGAGATTGTCAAGTTGTTGATTTCAAGTTT